TATCAAGAAGGAAATTTATATAAAAATGCTAAAATTGGAATAATTTTGATTCAGGTTTTGTAACGTATATTGCACTAGTTTGGTGTGTAAAAGGTTTAGTAAAAACCTGCAATTTGTTATTTTCAACAGATGCCTTAATGTTTCACAAATGGGAGAATGCTTTCACACTTGACAGATATTCTTGGGGTTATAGGAGTGATATGACGATCGCAGATGTTTTGAGCATTGAAGAATTGATTGAAAACGTCGTGTCTACTGTAAGCTGCGGTGGTAAGAGTTTAGTCTTTTACTAAAAGGCACAATTTCTGAAATATAACACCAAATAATATTCCACTTTCAATACAGAATCGGTTATAGTATTGTTCTACTGTTTAGACCAAAAAAGGCTTTGTGACCGACACAATGGTATTTGTTCATGAAATCTGTATATCTTATTGATTTTGTCGATTAAAAAAATATATATTTATTTAATCATATAAAATAATTTGTTACGAATATTTAAATAAATCGGGAAATCAACGTGTCCATATCATATCACATCATATCATTTTTAAATTATTTTAATTTAATATCCGGATTAAATCTATGTAATATTTTATGTACCTCGATGTTTCATAACGTCGTATTAAATTCAAGTGGTATCAAACTAAAATATTGTGTGAAAATCGAGAAAATTTAAATGATTCATATTTAAATGCTATTTTAAAGGAAATGTATTAATTAACGTCGGACCAACGAAAGAGGGAATTATAGTACCTATTTTCCAAGAACGACTTCTGCAGTTGGGTGAATGGCTGCTCATCAATGGTGAAGCAATTTATAATACCTCGGCCTGGTTCTATCAGAGAGATACCTTAAATTTGGACGTTTGGTACACATGCAAAAAGGAACGCTACGATACTTTCAGACTGTCGAATATTCCCAATAAAAATGATTCTATTGTAGCTATTTATGCCATTTTCTTAAAGTGGCCGGTCGACGACATATTAAGTGTCAAGGACTTGAGCTCTTATATTTCAAAGAACGAATTCGACCAGATTTCTTTGCTGTTACCAGATAAGCATATTTCATTAAATGTTAGTATATTTACTTTTACGTAAGCAATTTTGAATTTATTTAGCCTATTTTGATAGAGGAAACTCGATGCAGTCATGAACATCAATTATTATATTCGTCATTGGGTGCAGTCTATGGTACAAATGTTTTTCTCTTTTGAAACGGCTGTTAATTTAAAACCAGATAAGTTCTTTGATTCTTTTGTGCAGACGTGGCACACCTTTTATATTTATTACAATATGACTAAGAACCAAGAACTGACTAAGAAGGTTATTGTTCTTAGGAATATGACGATTCAGTATTTTGGGTGTTCTATTCGCCATGGTGGTCCAATGGTTTGACCGGCCGCCTCTCAAGTAGAGGCCGCGGGTTCGAACCTCTGAGTTTCTCAGAATTTATGGGCGAAATTAAATTAAATTTAATTAAAGATATTAAATTGAATTAAATTTAATTTAATTAAAAATAATAAAAATAAAATAAAAATAATTGAATTAAATTAAAAAGAATTTAAATTAAATTAAAAATAATTGAATTATATTAAATTTAATTTGAAATTTACCATGAGCTTTTCGGTGAACGAAAACATCGTTATGAAACTTGCACGTCGAAGAAGGTTCACTACCCTCGGAAAACGTGTGAAGTCCCCAGCACGCACACACAGTCAGTATTACCCAAATTTTCGTCTGAGAAGATACCCATGCCCAGCAGTGGGACGTATTAATGGGTTGATGATGAGGTGTTTTATTATATGTCTTTCAGTCTTGTCTCCACAGAAACAGTTAAAAAGTCATAAAATTAATTTATAAATTACATTTTAAATGTATCAAGTAATTTGATTACAATATTTACAGTACACTATTATGAATAATAGTGTGGTTGCAGTACGTCTACCATCTAATGCATCGAATTATTTCGGCTGGGTGTTGAAGATTGACGATTGAGAAGAACAAAAGATCAGTGCCGTCAGGCAATATTGGATGCCCCAAGATTCAAACAAAGGTAACAAATGCACTGTCGGCTTATCAGGGTCCATGGTTTCACGGGATGCGGGCCCGTCGGATCCGTTGCGTGTCGGTAACTACAAAAGCGCAGAGCGAGAGCACGTGCGTTTGACGATTATTACTTATCGTATATATCATGTAAGGAAATGAATATATATATATATATATAGGAAATGAAACTATTTTTCGGGATTTAAATCGCATATATTTGTTTTTTCAAACAAACCAACGTTTCGGGCCCATTACAGGTCCCACAGTCACGGTTACTGAGGTCAAAAGGTTTAAAGTTATCAACCAATGATGTCTAATATTAATGCAAACCACTCTATTTTTTCCACTATAGTTACAAAAGTTATTAATTAATTACCTTACTTTTAATTTTACAGAGAACATTCCGATTTACGCTACATATATGTTTTTCAAATTATTTAATTTGAACAATATTAATTTTTACTAAGTTAAATTTATTAATAGTTGATAATGGAAATTAAAATAAATTAAAACATATTAATTGGTACTGCAGTCATATGTCTGTTTGGGATTTTTTATCAGAGGAAATACTTAATCCCAAACTGGTGGTACGGAGAAACCATCTTCCCTGTTGAAATTAGGATTTTGTTTTATTTCAATGGCCTCTCGCAGCATCCTGAGTAGATTATGTTTAATAACGGTCAATAAAAAAAAGAACGGGAGTAAATTCCGTGGACTCGTCTAAAGCTCGCGCTCGCCCGTACAAATTGGCGAGGTGCGGGGCGGCCTTTGATATCACGGGTCGTCGTCGGATGCCAGAATTATATGCCGTCAATCAGTGCAATAAACCCAAATTGCATTTCACCTGCGTATGTCGTAAAATATCTGTTCTGTTTTTATTTTGTTTTATGTAATTTTTTTTTTACAAAATTCGTTTTTTATAGTTTTTTTTGTATGTGAACGGATTTATAATTTACATTATGAAATAAAGCCTTTTTTATATCAAATCCAAATATGTTGTTTTTATATGAAATGCTGAAATGTTATAGATTTATCCTGAATGACCTTTCTCTGTGGATAAAATCATAAAGTATAATTGAAGCATTGGAGCAACAAGGGCGTTTGGCACCCAAAGCCCGTTTTGATGTTAGCGCGTCAAAACATGTAAAGTACTATAGTACTATCTAGTATCTTGTGACAAAAATTAATTTCGATCTTTCCCTGCTAGATGGTATAAATTTCATTCATATAGGTGGCACTCCGCCCGTGTTGCATAGATTACAAATGTGCTTTTGAATTTCGAACGCGTTACGTCCTGCAGTTTGTAAAAACTTATTTTAATGTAAAAAAAGCTTCTAAAAACTTATTTTAATGTAAAAAAAATGCCTGAAACAAGCGATTTCATCCTCAACCAGGAGCATATAGGAGGCCAGTAAGACCTGCTGAAGATAATTCTGATGATTCATTTCAATTCAGCGAATTTATTGAATAATTAAAAACATGTTTAATTATTTTTTTTCAATGTAACTTTTAAATATGAGTAATTTACAATAAGTATCTAAAGTTATTATTTATTTCCTTAGAAAGTAATAATAAAACGAACGCCCTATTAATTTACCTGTTATGCAACAAGGGCGGAAAACAAAAAAAAATATTTTCAAATGTGTATATTTGTTTTGAAATATTAATAACACCTGATTCTTTTAGCGAAATCATACGACAAATAAGTCACATTATAAGTATTAAAAAGTTATAAGACATTAAATCTATTTCCAATTTTCTCGAATCTCATTTTTACGTGAAATGCCCTTGTAACACCCATTGCTTCAATTAGTAACATAATTCTTCTTGCTGTCGTATGGCTATAGTGGATCTATAATGCTTGCCGTCGTAAAGGATTTGCCAATCGGCATAAGGTTCTCGCCAATTGTTGCCCAGTAGGGCTAGCACGACAGGCGTGACTTGCGCAAGAACTGCCTCTGTGGCCGAACGGTTACCATGCTGGACTGCCACGCAGAGGTCGCAGGTTCGATTCCCGGGCCGGGAGAAATATTTGTGTGGCTTACATTTATTTATCTCGTGTATTTGTGCTATGTTGAGTGTGTGCGTTAAAAAAAATCTTTATGTTGCTCTTGCGCCAGACATAGAGAAAAGTAATGGTCCGTCGTGCAGAGAGGCTCCCTTCGTGCATCCCGAAGTAATTTATTGTAATTAAATTAGTATTATTATGGACTACGTTGTCTGAAGTGGATATGAACAATACATCTAGGACAAAAATATAAAATCTAAGTATTATACACATTAATAATAATAATAATAATAATAAAGAACTTTATTTATCTACAATTGAAATAATAATATACAAAATTATCTTAAAATAACACAATGTGTAGATAAAAAGGTAAGAGTCTCAGCTTGAGCTGTTTTTCAGACTCTACCCCTTTGAAAGAAACTTGCTACATTTAAATATATATCTTATTGACGCATCTCGACCGGCTCCACAAAAAAAAAAAAAAACAAAAAAAGCAGAAAAACAGCCATCACAACAAACATCATGATACCTATGCTACTTAATAAAAATAAAAATAAAAATTAAAAATTATAAATATTTGAACACTTGAACACTTGAACAATTCGATTTGTAATTTGGATAGGGACGAACAGTGAACATAAAATATATATATGTCTAGATAAAAAAATAAAAAAAAGCACAAAATGTTAAAAATATAAAAATAATGAAAAATGTGGCTTAAAATGGCGTGCGATGAAGTTACACCAAATTACATCCAATTACTTGCCGAATACTGCCTCGAAAGTAGCCAAAGCTTGCATTTCGTTTTGAAAGCCCATGACGACGTTAGGTTTCTTATGGGAGGAGGCAAATCGTTCCAGCACTTTGAGGCTGCGAATTTGAAGCTACCGCGGTAAAGCGTGAGTCGAGGAGGTAATAACTGTAAGGACGGATAACGTATCGATCGCGTGCTGCCATCAACATGGTCATTCCAGATTAATTTTCTGGCCAAGTAAGTTGGAGTAGAAGTTTTTCTTAAATTATGAATAAATGAATTCAATTTTAATGTTCTGCGGTTTGACATATTTAAAATATTAAACTTATTAAGATATGGAGTGATGTGCGAGCGTGGAGGAATCTTAAAACAGAATCTAATACACGAGTTCTGTACTCTTTGAATTTTCTTTTCTATTTTTTTCAGTAAACAAGGCCCGTACACTATGTCGCCATAATCCAGTTGCGAGAGCACTAGAGCATCTACAATACGTTGTTTAACTTCTGTCGTCAGAAGTGGTCTCAGTCTATATAAATGTTTTAATGAACTATAACAATTTTTTACTTTTGTGTCGACATGCTTCTCAAAAGTAAGGCCATTATCAAAAAATAACCCTAAATTTTTTGCTACCTTGGACTCACTCAACACCTGACCTTCAATTGTGATTTGAGGATTCGCAGCTCTTAAGAATTCCACCTGGTGTCGAGTACCCAATAAAATAAATGAACATTTTTGGGCATTCAACACAAGACTATTCTCCCTAGACCACTGAACCACCGCTGATAAATCTTCATTAAGTAAATTAACAGTATTGTTAATGTGAGTAACATCTAAAGGTGTGTGAACTAAAACCTGGGTGTCATCCGCATACATGTGGGCAGATCCGTGTCTCAAATTGTCCAACAGGTCGTACGTATACACAGAATATAGAGTAGGCCCTAGCACAGAGCCTTGAACCACACCTTGGGAGACCGCAAGAGGAGTAGATTTCACCTGTTTCCCCGATACATCCGTACATTGTACCACTTGTGACCTATTGTCGAAATAGCTTTCAAACCACTCGCATACCAACTTATCACAACCACAATAGCGCAATTTGTCTATTAATATCTTTCTATTTAAACAATCGAATGCACGACTATAGTCAAGAAGGAGCATTATAGACCCATTTTTGTTGTTGGCCGCAGTTAGAACTTCGTCAACTACGTGCATCAGCGCTGTAGTGGTGCTGTGCTGCTTGCGAAACCCCGATTGTTGTTCGGGAAGAATTTTATAAGTATCCAAGTAGCTCAGTAAACGAGCATTCACCGCCTTTTCCAGTACTTTTGACAGTACGGGAAGCAAACCTATGGGTCTCAAGTCTTGAATTGTGTCTACACTGGCTTTCTTGGGGATCGGCTTTATTAAAGCAACTTTCCATTTTTGTGGAAACTGTCCGGAACTTAAGGATTTATTAATAATCGAAGTAATAGCCTCTAAGAAATAAGGTAATGTCATTTTAATCATTTTGATTGAGACTCTGTCTTCCCCTACTGCATTTGATTTTATTGAATTAATAATTTTTAACACTTCTACTGCCGATATTTCCGAAAAACTAAAAGTATGGTCTGGTATTTTCTTGCGAAAAGAATCGTAGATTTGCACATTACTGCGATTCATAGTGGTAGGAATTGAGTCCAAGAAAGATTTATTGATAAAATCAGGGTCTCGAATATGCAACGGTAATATATCTTGACAGTTATTCCCTATTACTTTATTAATTTCTTTCCATAATTTACTTGGGTTTTTGACATTTCTATTTATTGAAAGGGAGAAATAATGTTTTTTTTCGCTCCGTATAAGATCAGTGGCAGCGTTACGCAGAGATTTGTACATCTTTTTATCTGTTTCATTGCCCGTAACCTTAGCTCTAGCACATGCATTGTCTCTATCCTGCATTAGAACCCTGATGCTGTCTGTTATCCAAGGCGTAGGAGGATTTCTGAACATCTTAGTACGCTCAGGTACAAAGTGGTCAAAGAGGCCTAATATCAAAAAGTTAAAACAATTGACCATCTCGTCTATAGTGCCGAAATTGCACACCCATTCCCAAGGCGTAATAGAGGACGCAAACTGATATGTGTCCATATCTAAGTCATGAAAAGGCCTGTAGGTGATGATACGAGGCGCGATCTTTGGGAATTG